ACACATCTTTTTATTTTCTCCAAAACTGTTTCCAGTTTCACCAGTGAAGGAAATCTACTGGGCTCAGTAACACGTATGTAAGATTAATATTACATTACTAGTTTAAAGTACATCTCTTGAACTTGGAAACTCCCACATAATAATGCACATATTTGACAAATATCTATTGAACATCTATGATGTGCCAAGTGCTGCTGTGAGTATTAGAGAAAATGAAGTAGAAAAGGTGTTTTTGTCCTTGTGGTACTTACACTTGAGTATCGTGAGTTTGTATACCCTCTCTTCCTACTAGGAGAAAACTTATTACTTTTAATCTTTTCTTTGCAGTAAGTTCCTTAAACCTACTTGTCCCTCGAAGATTATTGATTTAAAAAAAACAAAAAAACAAAAGACATCTTTTATTTATTTTCCTTAATCAGAATCTTAGGGAACAGATTGGGAAATCTGTTTCAACAAGCTCTCCGGGTGCTTTAGATGCATTTGAGACTACTGCCCTATTAATAGCGTACTACCTGAGGAATTGCAGTTTTCACTTGTCTACATCTATAGCTCCCCTTTTGGTTATCATGACTACCCTTTATCAAACTTCTCATCTTTGGAGAAAATGAAAGCTCTCCTAATTGGTTTCCAGCCAATTCACCTAAAATAGACTACAAAGCAACCTTTTTATAAAACACCATTTATTCTTAACTAAAATTGTTATCAGTATGGAACAGATGTTAACCATGTCCTGCTTTTGAATAGAAAAGGTTCAAACATTAATTATTACTTATGATCCATAGACCCAAAAGATTCATTTTAACATTAGAGTTGAGATGTCAGAGACATGGGAATTTTTCTCATCAAAAGCAAGACACTGATTCTTGGAAATCCATTGTATACAATATAAACAATATTTGCTAAAGTAGTTCTTTGTGAGTTGATGACTGTCAGTATAGTTGATATTTAATACTAAACAATATGCAATACCAAAAACTACAATAAGGTTAGTATTTGTGAAATAGTTATCACAGGATTTTTATGTGCTTAAACTCTGTTCTAACTATTATACACATATTTAGGTGACTTGATCTTCAAAACTTGTCTATGAATTGTGATTTGGTTACCATGCCCATTTTACAGATGAAAAGCTGAGACATTGCCAATATAAATAGTCTGTTTAGATTTATATGGCTGATAAACTGTAATCAGGATTAGAATCTTAGTGCCAAAATCTGTACCCTAATTAATCAATAGACTAACCTGTTCCTCCTTAGTTTTTATAATACGTTTTTAGGAACCTCAGACCAAAGAAGTTTACATAGTCCTTTCTAGGAAACAAGAATGTGGATCACAACTTCCTTGTCCCCACTATTCTGTCTTATTTTCACTTGATTCATGTTGTAAAATGACCATAACAATGTTGATGAACAGGATCATCTAGTGGCTAGTGAATCAAGCATAAGACTAACTTGATTCTGAATTTCAGCTGTACCATTTGCTCGCTTTAAGGTCTTAAGCAAGTGACCTCTTCAAGTCCTAGTTTCTTCGCCTTCCAAATGAAGGTTATAATGGGACCTACATCATACAATGTTGAAAGAACAAGTAAGATGGCCCATTTAAGATACTTAGAATGTATTCAATAAATATTATAAGCGTAATAAATAGCAGCATCAATAAACTATGAGCCAAATGAAGCCTTGATTCTTATATTAGCAATAAACATGGTTCATTTTTCTTTTAATTAAAAATATCACAGCAACAAAAACAACAAACAAAACTATAAGCCATTAAACCAGTCCTTTGTAGGGAAAACCAGAAAGGCCATTTGATTCATTAATTCATATGTCACTAGTCATCTCCTCTGTTTCAAAAGGCATGTGTTTTAGCATCCTGAGACACCTTGCATAACATAATCACTGTGACTCCAAGAGGTCAAGTGGGCATGCAGTTAATGTTGCTCTGTGAAAAGCTCAATAATTCATTTTATAAATTTCAGTTCAAAGCCTATGTTGAGGTTAAGAAAAATTGACATTCGGTCTGTGAACTTAATGTCAAGCTCAGAAAAACTCTGGGCTGCACATGTTTAGTGATTAAGCAGACGCAGACAATAAAGATGTTGCCAAATTGTAAAACAAGACTTGGAAATCACGGAAAATGTTGCTAGTTATTGATTATGGTGACCATTCAGTTCTTATTGAGCCACCCAAAAGAATCATTCATTTTCCAGCAGAGAGCCTGCTCATTTGCAAGATAAAAGAGAGACATTTCTGCACATGCCCATAATGTTCTTCACCACTGGGGGCAGCTTTACATAAGACTGCATTCACTGAAACCAAAGCAACAGTCCGAGCAGCTTTCAGAATGACAGTCTGCAGAAGTGAGCTGAGCGTGTGCGCTGTACGGGGCTCTCCTGCCTTGTGGGCTCCTTCGTAGCTCTGTGGCTGAACTGGGTGCTCACCACGGGAACTGCTGGGCTATGGAATACAGATGTGGCAGCTCAGGTAGCCCCACGTTGCCTGGAGGAATACATCAAGCTTTCTGATAAGAAGAAATTGTAGAAGCCAGTTCTGTAACCGCCCCCCCCCAAGAGAAAAAAAAAACTGTAAAGATGCAAAAACGTAATATCCATGAAGATCCTATTACCTAGGAAGATTTTGATGTTTTGCTGCGAATGCGGTGTTGGGATTTATTTGTTCTTGGAGTGTTCTGCGTGGCTGGCAAAGAATTATGTTCCAAAATCGGTCCATCTCCCAAGGGGTCCAATTTTTCTTCCTGGGTGTCAGCGAGCCCTGACTCACTACAGTGCAGCTGACAGGGGCTGTCATGCAAGTGGCCCCCTAAGCCAAAGCAAAGGACCTAAGGACGACCTTTGAACAATACAAAGGATGGGTATGTTTTGTCATTTTTCTTCTTTCCTTCTTTAAAAAAAAAATCCTCTAGTATATGTAATAATTCTGTCTTAATTATGTTAGAGATTACCTTGTTCTGCTCTAAGACTAAAGATTCAATTGCTTAGTGGACACATTTCTTGCTTAACTATTTAAAACAAAAAACACAATCTCTTTCAATTGCAAAGAGATGATATTTAATGTTAAATGTTGTTATCTAGATTTGAATTTCTGAAAATGAAAATACATGCCTATTTTTGCTTGATTTAAAAAAATGAATTCTTTTTTGGGGGGATAACTTTTCTAAGTTGTTTTTATTTCCAGGTTTCAATGTAATTAGGCTACTGAGCGGATCAGCTGTAGCACTGGTTATAGCCCCCACTGTCTTACTGACAATGCTTTCTTCTGCTGAACGAGGATGCCCTAAGGGCTGTAGGTGTGAAGGCAAAATGGTATATTGTGAATCTCAGAAATTACAGGAGATACCCTCAAGTATATCTGCTGGTTGCTTAGGTTTGTCCCTTCGCTATAACAGCCTTCAAAAACTTAAATATAATCAATTTAAAGGGCTTAACCAGCTCACCTGGCTATACCTTGACCATAACCATATCAGCAATATTGACGAGAATGCTTTTAATGGAATACGCAGACTCAAAGAGTTGATTCTGAGTTCCAACAGAATCTCCTATTTTCTTAACAATACCTTCAGACCTGTGACCAATTTACGGAACTTGGATCTGTCCTATAATCAGCTGCATTCTCTGGGATCTGAACAGTTTCGAGGCTTGAGGAAGCTGCTCAGTTTACACTTACGGTCTAACTCCCTGAGAACCATCCCTGTGCGAATATTCCAAGACTGCCGCAACCTGGAACTTTTGGACCTGGGATATAACAGGATCCGAAGTTTAGCCAGAAATGTCTTTGCTGGCATGATCAGACTCAAAGAACTTCACCTGGAGCACAATCAATTTTCCAAGCTCAACCTGGCCCTTTTCCCAAGGTTGGTGAGCCTTCAGAACCTTTATTTGCAGTGGAATAAAATCAGTGTCATAGGACAGACCATGTCCTGGACCTGGAGCTCATTACAAAGGCTTGATCTGTCAGGCAATGAGATCGAAGCTTTCAGTGGACCTAGTGTTTTCCAGTGTGTCCCAAATCTGCAGCGCCTCAACCTGGATTCCAACAAGCTCACATTTATTGGTCAAGAGATTTTGGATTCTTGGATATCACTCAATGACATCAGTCTTGCCGGGAATATATGGGAATGCAGCAGAAATATTTGTTCCCTGGTAAACTGGCTGAAAAGTTTTAAAGGTCTGAGGGAGAATACAATAATCTGTGCCAGTCCCAAAGAGCTGCAAGGAGTAAACGTGATCGATGCAGTGAAGAACTACAGCATCTGTGGCAAAAGCACCACGGAGAGGTTTGATCTGGCCAGGGCTCTCCCCAAACCAACGTTTAAGCCCAAGCTCCCCAGACCGAAGCATGAGAGCAAGCCCCCCCTGCCCCCCACGGTGGGAGCGACAGAGCCCGGCCCAGAGACCGATACTGACACGGAGCACATCTCTTTCCATAAAATCATCGCAGGGAGCGTGGCCCTTTTCCTGTCCGTGCTCGTCATCCTGCTCGTTATCTACGTGTCATGGAAGCGGTACCCTGCAAGCATGAAACAGCTGCAGCAGCGCTCCCTCATGCGAAGGCACAGGAAAAAGAAAAGGCAGTCACTAAAGCAAATGACTCCCAGCACCCAGGAATTTTATGTAGATTATAAACCCACCAACACGGAAACCAGCGAGATGCTGCTGAACGGGACAGGACCCTGCACCTATAACAAATCAGGCTCCAGGGAGTGTGAGGTATGAACCATTGTGATAAAAAAAAAAAA